TCAGCTCACCAGCCCACCCCCACTCTTGGAAGTACTTTCCCTTTCTTAAGCTTGCAGTCATTCTTTTAAAAAATTTTAAATGATGGCATGTTGATGGGCCCAGACTTATGTAGGTAGCCACTGCTGCTGTGGATTCATGGATGCAATAGCTGTGCCATGTCCAGAAAACAACATATCACAGTATTCCTTCCAATCCCTAAGGGCTCACCTTTGTCCACAGTGTATCCTCAGCCTTGGAGGGGGAGGCGTGGGTGATTTCAGACTGAGCACTCAATGGCCACTTATTCTTAATACTTTAGTGTGGGTCTCTTCACTAATCATCACCACTGAAAGCAGAAGTTTCTCTGACCAAGAGGAAAAGCAGCCCTGACCCACATGTATCAACCTAAGAGTTTAGGAGGCAGTTTGATACCATGTCACAAAGCAACAGTAGTAATTTCCCCCCATCCAGGGACTATGACCTCCCCCGCCATAGTCTTTTGGCCAAGTTTACCAGTACCAGGTATGAATTCCTCCTGTGCAGTAGGCCTAAAATCCTATCAGAAAGTAGCTGGTTACTTCCCTAACACTCATATTACTGCTCCAATGATCACATCTTCCTGACAGATTGGTATTGTTGCTCACAGTGTTCATAGTTGGGTAAGACTGTTGGTGACATTTATCCCCTGGTGACCTGTGCACAGTACCTGCATTGTAAAAGCTAGCCATCAAGAAGGAAGCTTCCAGCTGATTGGGATTTAAGTATCTCACTTACCCAGATTTGGGACATTCTCTGGTTTTAGGAATGCAGTAGAGAGCTAAGAATCACATAGATGCATTCCTAAACTGTTTAGCATTAGCTGTCACTATAAATGTATGACATTGGGAGATAGAACGAATGTGAGACTCACTGAAGTTCCTCTTTAATTTACTATTTAACTGGATGAGACACTCTGCCATTGTCCTCATCTCCAAAATGTATTAGCGATGAAGATGAAAGATGTCTGCATTTGCTTTGTAGTCTCTAAAGCACTATGCAAGCAAGATCGGCTCTGTGTTTAGCCATTATTTACAGTTAGAGGATGTTAAGAGCATTTGGTGAGAGCTATGACTCAGTATTCTTTTGTCTTGTCTGACTTCTAAATTGAGGCAAATAAAGTAGTGTGTGTGTGTGTGTGTGTGTGTGTGTGTGTGTGTGTACCTTTATTTATTGGGCGGGGGGCATGTACCACAGCATGCACGTGGAAGTCAGAGGACAACGTACTATAGAAGTGGGTCCCAGGATTGAACTTGGGTCATCAGCCTTGGTAGCAAGCACCTTTATCTGCTGAGCCATCTTGCCAGCCTGTATTGTCTCCCTTCTGTCTGATACTCTACTAAGCACTGACAGAACAAAAAATACTCCATGTCACAAAGCAACAGTAGTAATTTCCCCCCATCCAGGGACTATGACCTCCCCCGCCATAGTCTTTTGGCCAAGTTTACCAGTACCAGGTATGAATTCCTCCTGTGCAGTAGGCCTAAAATCCTATCAGAAAGTAGCTGGTTACTTCCCTAACACTCACAACATTACTGCTCCAATGATCACATCTTCCTGACAGATTGGTATTGTTGCTCACAGTGTTCATAGTTGGGTAAGACTGTTGGTGACATTTATTCCCCAGTGACCTGTGCACAGTACCTTCCTGCATTGTAAAAGCTAGCCATCAAGAAGGAAGCTTCCAGCTGATTGGGATTTAAGTATCTCAGTTACCCAGATTTGGGACATTCTCTGGTTTTAGGAATGCAGTGGAGAGCTAAGAATCACATAGATGCATTCCTAAACTGTTTAGCATTAGCTGTCACTATAAATGTTTGACATTGGGAGC